CTGTCAAAAAGCAGTTCCACAGCATTGTCCCTGTGACCTACAACTTTGCTGGAAGTTCTGAGAGTGTGGCCTATACATCTTCACCTCTGTATAGCTGGAGTGCTCAGATTCCAGATGAGAATACAGATCATCCACAGGATGATGGCCATTCCCGTGGAGCAGTGCGTGCTGCAGGGACGGGTGGCAGCATTCAGCAGTGCTGCACTGGGTGACCGTGCTTGTCAGCCTTGCACACGGTGAGTAAAGGGAATGGTGCCTTAGAGAATCACAGAGTAATTTCCATCAGGAAGATGGGAAAAGATCTCCAAGATCATCCTGTCCAGCTGTCCTAGCACCTCTGTTGCCCACATCTCTCAGAGCCACACATCCATGCTTTTTGCATGCCCCCGGGGACAGTGACCCCACCACCTCCCTGTGCAGCCTGTGCCAATGCATCACCACTCTTTCTGAGAAGAAATTGTTCTAATATCCAACCTGAACCTCCCCTGGTGCAACTGAAGGCCATACAACTTGCTGGGAAGAAAAGGGAGGAACAGATGACCTGGCTTTGCGTTGAGATGCTTTTGCTGAAGGAGACTTATCTCCTTCCAGATAACTGGCAGAGGATGCTGCAAGAGCTCTATCACATCCACAGAGTTACTGCCTGCCTTATATCACTGCAAGTTCTCAACACATCTGGGCTGAGAACGCTTCCAGTAACATTAAAGTGCACTGTTTTGGTTGGCACACTGACACGGTGGTATATGCCAATTAGTAATGGCTCTTGGAAAGGGGCTCTTGCAAACTCGCCCCAAACTATTCCCCAGAGAAATTATTCAATTAAGTACAACTAAAATTAATGTCCATGGGTTTTGTTCTAATAAAACAAAATAAGCAGCTGGAAAAGGGAAAACTTCTCAGTGTGCGCTTTTAAAATAACTCTCACTAATAACTGTTTGCTGGAATCGGTGCTGCTGTTTGTTTTCTGCTCTGCTCTTTGTGAAAAACCCGGTGAGCACTTCTGCAGCTGATGGCCTGGAGCTGCTCCTGCTCACCAGGGTGCAATTCCAAACTATGGCTGCCTTCGAGAGGATGAGGTGCTGTGTTTGGCATGGCAGTGTCAGGGCTGGACACAGAGACAACTTTCCCCTTCCCTTTCCCTTCCCTTTTCTTTCCCCTTTCTTTCCCTTCTCTTCCTCTTCCCCTCCCTTCCCCTTCCTCTCTCCTTCTCCTCACCCTTCCCCTTCCTTTTCCCCTTCCTCTTTAGTTCCTCTTTCCTTCCGCTTTCCTTCTCTTCCTCTTCTCCTCCCCTTCCCCTCTTCCCCCTGCTTCTTTACAAATCCATCCCTCCTGGGATGAAGAGCCCTTCAGAACCCAGCTGGCCCAGACACCATCAAACCCCTGGAAATTAGCAGAGCAGCAGAAAGCTGAAATGTAAATAGGAACACATTGGTTTGCTCCTTTTAGAGAAGTATTTTATGAAGTTCTGCCAAAGCACAGATGACATATCATCGGTTGAGCTGGGAAAGGTGGGTAAGGGCTCATCCTGGAAGCAGGCTCCATGGGAAGCAACAGTGTGCAGGAGTAGTGCAGGGCAGAGGTTGGTGTGAGGGCAGTGATGTGGGGTTCCTGGAGCTGAGCAGACCTGGAAAACCAGGTGCTGTCTGCAGAGGTGCAGAGAAATTCCCGTTCCTGGTGCTGTGGTTGTCACTGTTTCTCTCCTTTCTGCCTTGACGTTGCAGCTGGCACGTTGCACAAAGGTGCTCTGGGTTTCTGATGTGCTTCCATTAGTTGTAATCTTCACTTCATACCGCTGGCATCTTGAACAATGCTTGCTTTCCTATTACCATGTAATTACGGGGTTTGGACATACAGAGGTTGGCGTTCAATATATGATTCATTTCTTTGGTATTTACCTCCTCCTGAAGCACTGAGACCTGATGGAGGGAGAAAGGCTGCTTGGCTGCTGTGCTGAATTCCAGCCTTATTGTAGGGTATTTTTTTTTTTTTTTTTTTTGCATAGCATAAAATGTTATGGCTTCAGCTCTCTCTGTGTTTTTCTTGAGGCTGACTGCAGTCCTCCAATACTCACAGTGGGATATACCATGGAGATGGGTTACTCATTGATAAATGCTATTGAACAGTCTGTAATTGTGAACCCACCAAAGAAAGCTCTGGGAAGGAGATGTTTGGCCATTCACGCTGCTCCACAGAGCACAGACCCCAGGCCGAGTGTGTTTCCCTGTGGGCTCCTTTGGTGCCTGGCTTTTGGGTTCCCTACAACACAGACAGCGAGTGTGACCCAAGGGAGGGGTCACCAAAATCAAATGAAGCTTTTTAGGTTTTTTAGATAAAGCAGAATATCATGGAAAACCATGTGTGAGGGCAGGGAGGAAGGGAGCCTGGTTCTCCCCATGGGAGGAGGTTCCTCCTGTGCAGGGCAAGGAAATGCCTGCAGCATTCTGCTGCTCCTGGCTGCAGAGGGAGAGGGCAGAGCTCAGGACATAGGCCCCCAAAAGTCAAATCTTTCAGAATATATGCCTCCAAAGGTCTAATATTTCAAAATACAGCAACCTACTCTGTCTTATCACTGCTTGCTTTGCTGTTTCCTTTGCCCACAGATGCACTGCTTGGGGCTGCAGCTCCTGGCCGTGAAGGGCAGAACAGCTGTGGCTTTGTCTGGTTGATGGATTCAGGATCCTGGCTCTGGAGGTGCTTTTACTTTGCTGAATAACATCTACTGCTGTAGCCTTAATGTTCATAATCACTTGAGCATAAGCCCTTGGCCCCAGAGCACAGGTACCCATGCTCCACCTGCGGCAGCCATGGGACTCCTGCTGCTAACTGCTGCAGTGCCAGGCTCATGCCAGAGGTTCTGCCTCCTGCCTTGGGATCCCTGTAGGGCTGTGCCTATGCCTGTGCCAGTGGTTTCAGTGTGGTTTGGAGTGCAGTGTGACAGAAATGTCCTCTGTATGGTCATTGGCAGCCTTTCAACCCTCAGCCTGCTTCCCTGCTCCCTCGCAGAGGGGAAGCCTCTCTCCTTTGCTTTCCTCACTTTTCTGTCTATTTTCATTATATTGCGTGGTCAGGTGAATGGGAGCTAATAGAAGAATTTCCATCCCAAAGGTGATTCTTGCAGAGGAGCTGTGGGTCACGCCAAGGAGCAATACTGAGAGCCACCAAAGGTCTTCAGTGCTCTTACGGCTTTCCTAGCTGGGGGTTTGCTGTGGCAGCAGCTCTGCCTACCTAAGAATCCATCACTGCTTCTGCACAGCCTGCATTGCTGTTGCCTTCTGTTGGCTTTGTAGCAGGGAAGAATCCTTTAATCCCCATACGGATGGAGCGTGGCAGGGCAGGGCTGGCTGTGGTGCCAGTGCTGTGCTGCTGGGTGCTGTGCCTGGGGCAGGAGCAGCGTGCAGGTGGGTCTGCTCCAGGCACGGTCCCCGCTGAGACCCTTTGGGCTTGGAAATGACAGAAAGCGTTCCTGTGTGCATCTGTGATCATTTAGCTGTGGTCTGTGTGCCAGGATGTTTTCCAAGGAGGGTCTGGTCGGAGCTGGCAAGGGAAAGGCTCTCATTTCCCAGGCGTGCTTATCGTGCTGTCCTTGGCGGCGATGGGAACTTTCGGCACTTCTTTTCACTCGGAGGCAGCCACAGCAGCCCGCCCTGCAGGCAGAGCTGAGCTGGTTTTCCCATTGTGCTGAATCACACGGAACAGATAAAGTTTCCTCAAAATGTTGTTGCCCTGTGGATGTGGGACTTGGGAAAGTTGGGTGGGAGTGAAGGAGGATGAACACCTGAACTGGGAACTGGGCACAGGAGATGCTGCAGCACTGTGGGGCAGGCTGGAGGGGCGTTCTTAGGAGGACTGTGCTTAATTCTCTTAACTCTCCAGGAGAGTAAAACATGGTTGAAATTTCCTCTGACTTCAGCACAGGGTGCAGCTGTTGGAGCAGGAGCTGATGCTGCAAAGTTGGTGCTGCATTGTGCTTGCATCCCTTGCAGACATGAGGTCCATACCTGGAGCTGCCAGCAGGGTTTGGAAGCACGAGGGGGGTCCCATCAGTGCCATCACCTTGCTCCTGGCATAGATGTCTGCAAAGTCAGGTTTGAAGGAGCACAGAATAACCTGCTCCAAAAAGACAGACGAGACTCACTAGGACAGCGATCAATAGCAGGGAAAGTGCTGGGTGTGTAACCAGACGAAAGCATTTTGCAATAGCATTCAGTTTGTGGCTGTTGTCCTCCTCTCAATTTTTCACGCGCACAAAATCATTCCTACCTGCAGATAGAAAACCACTCTTTGGGTTTGTGCTCCCAGGAACAAGCACCATCTGCATATTGCAACTTGATTTAAGCATCACAGTCAGCAAGAAGGAAATTTGGTGCCCCAGTGTGGCTTTTCGTATTACAAGTTCAGAAACCCCCAATCAATCAGCCCACCAGGCTCTTGGTCTGAGCCTTTACCCGGTCCTGTTTCTGTGACACAAATAAAGCTGTTAGGTGTGTGAGGCGGGTTGCCTTGAAATTTCCTTTCCCCTTTCTTAGAAATGGATGTAGGGGAAATGTTGCTCACTTTCCTTTCTCCTAAGGACCATGTGGGCTGCAGGCAGCGCTGCCATTCCTACTTCCAATCAGTGGAACAGGGTGAGGCTTGCACTGCATCCTCCCCTACTCTTGATTGGCATCTCACCAAGTGCTCCCAAAAGCGTCTAGGAAGACAGTGCTTCTCATTGCAATGACTGCACAGCAGCCAAGTGAGCTCTGAGCGCTGAGATGCTGTCTTCCAGGGACTGAGAGTTCAGATTTCCCATCCTCCTGTACTGGATGGCCGGTCTTGCTGTAGCAGGCTGCAGCTTTGTCCCTTCCAGCTGAATCTGAAGCTGCAGTCTCTTGCCTGGCATTGCCCAGCCCTCACATTGTGGCGCTCTGTCGTGCTGGGAAGCCAAGAGGTGCAGCTGCTTTTTCCTGGAGCCTCAGTGCTGAGGGGCTCGGGTTAATGCTGTGTTTCTGTTTCCCCAGAGATCATCGATGACCTCACGAACCTGGTGGAGAACACGGACAGCAAGCTTCGCACTCAGACACGGCACGTGAAGATGGTGGACAGAAAGTCAACGTCCTGCGGTAGGAAATGAGCACAAATCCCATGCTGTTACTAAATGGCAATGGAACAAGTCATGCCCCGAGGCTGTGTGCTGTGCTTCTCCCAAGGAAGATTTCCTATGAAGGGAGGAAGCCATCTCTCCAACCTCTGTGTGCCTTCAGCCAGTGCTGCAGGCTCTCTGTGTGTCGGTACTGTTAGCTTCCCTGCGCCATTTCGCTCTGGTGTTGCACAATGTTCTGATGGGACACTGTAGAACTGTGTGTAATTCGTGTGGTCCATGTTGATGAGGTTTAAAACTGCTAGCTACCAGAAAGAAGAAATAGTCGCAGCAGGGAGTGGTGCCGCAGGGCGTTCCTGGTGGTGTCCTGCAGGAATGTGTCCCAACCCAGTGGCACTCGGAGCTGCCAGACATGAAATCCTCACTAGTGATACTTCGAGTTGCACGCAGGCGAGCAGAGCTCTGCCAGGCTGCCTGTTTCATAGCTAAAGCAAGGCAGTGCTTTTCCCATCGGTGAGAGCAGGTTCTGCGTACAGGTTGCAGTGCTGGGGGTGATGGCAGAAGACACACTGGCTTGGCCACAAGCTGGGTGAAGCAGAGCAGTGAGGGCACCAGCTCAGCAGCAGGGAGGTGTCCCTCAGGCCCTGAGGGTATATTTGAGGGACTGATTTGCTTCTCCAACACGTTTAGCTTGTTGTAAGCTTGGCTGGAGCAAATAGAAATCTGTGGTCTCTTCTAGAGGTTAAAGTGAACTCATCAGGGCACTGTCACCGATTTCTCATATTCCAACTACAGGCAGAGCTGAAGATGTGTCTGCAGAGTTCATGACTGATCGTTTGTTTCAGATCTCTGATGCTGACTCAAGATCGATTTGATTTAAAAATAATTGGACTTGGATGATGCCAAGTGCCCTGTGCAGCCCCTCCATTTCTGCACCTGCACCCACAGTGGGGCAGGAGGCTGTCTGCAGGGAATGGCTTCTGCATGTTGGGTATTTCTCCCCCTTTCTGGGCTCTTAATGCAAATGCAGAGCCCAACAATGCTGCTAGATAATGAGCCTGTCTCTTTAACTCTAAAGGCCATGCGGGCTATGCTGGGGAATTCAAGAGGAGGAGGAGGAGGAGGAGGGAGAGATGAAGGCTGGGAGGATCCCAGGCTGGATGCCTCAGGGGTGACCTCTCTCACCCTTTCTGCATTGAAAAACATTTTTCTTTAAAGGGTGGTGAGAAATGATGCCTCTTCATGTCTGCTCTGTCTGCTCCAATAGGTCTTCCTGTGTTTGCATAACAGTTTGGATATATGTGAGCACTATGTTGCCTCGAGTAGCTGTTTTACCCTGCCTAATCATGAGTTTCAGAACAGTAATGCTGGAAGATGCAGGCTTTGATGGCATTCTTCCCATCCCTTTTCCACCCTTAAACCAGCAATTTTCAGTGCCAGGTGTGTGAAGTCCAGAAAAACCCTCCACATACACAAGAGTATTTCTTGAACAAAGCCAAGCAGCAGGAAGGCAGGCATCTGCCAGGTGACTTCTCAGAGTGCATTTCTCCACTAACACTGCTTAAATTGATGAAGCCATCAGTAACTTTTGGTTTCTGCACTGCACAGCAATAATATGCTCAGTCCTGCTCCCCACATCTGTCCTGACCCAGATCTGTGCTGCTCCAGTGTCTTTTCCTATGTTTCCTCACTTGAAATCTTCACGTCTTTTTCTTTCTTTCCCCAATGAGTGGATGTATTGGAGGAATGGGCTGCGGATCCAAGCACAGCACTCTGGCATGAGCAGTGGAATAATCACCCTTTTATGAGCAGGAATGTAACACATTAATGGGCGTTCTTTGTTAGCAGCCAGTATAATAATAAAATCAAAGTATTGCTGATGAAATCCAATTCCCATCAATATTTCAATGTCTTGCTCTCATGCAAGCACCACTTGAGGCTTTGGGGCAGATTCAGGGATGGGTGTGACATCCTGCAGAGCAGGGAGCACCGACCTGGAGCTGCAGCCCAGCCCCACGCTCCTGGCTGAAGCCTCCAGGTTGTGTCGGATGCCTTGTTGCATTTGCAGCTTATTTGCAGTGACGTTTCTCTGTGAGCTGTTGATAGTCTCACCCTGGGACGCTGCCCATGGAGGCTGCCCAGCATGGGCCCATCTCCCTTGGTGTCCCCGGGCAGCCCTGTGCTGGTGGCAGTGGAAGTCCCATTGATGGCAGTGCAAGAATGGCCATGGAATAGTTTATGTGCCTCATTTATGAAATTATTGCTGAAAATCATCAGTCATCTGCAGGCAAATGCTTGCACTCTGCTTGGCATTGTTTTATTTCCTTTCAGCGTCTGCTGGGCATTGAGAAGGGATCTTAGGGCGAACATATTGCTGAGATTTCCGAAACTCATCCGCAGCTTTCACCAAACCATACACACAAGTCATCCATCAGCTGCTGGGCTGCCTGCTCCAGGCCTGGCTGTGCCATCCGAGCCGTTTTACCAGCGGCTCTTTGGGTTTGTCTGCCTGCCCCCGTGTTCTCCCAGCTCGTGTACCTTTGGGGTTTGCTGTGCAGAACAACGCTCGTTAATCATTTCTCAATAACGTTTTTATTAGAAGCTTCAACCCTCAGGATGTCCTCTGAAGAACTGCATTTAAAAATAAACAAATAGAAGTATAATAACAAACAACTGGGAGTGTGATTCAAGTTGAGGTGCTGGGGGAAAAACAAATGTGCCCCAGACAAACCCTGAGCTGAACAGACCTGATGACGTGGCACACGGCTTTGTCCCTTCACAGTGCGATCCCCTCAAATCCCTCCGTAGTTTTGTTTTTTCTTGGTAGAGGTAGCCTAGCTGTGATCTCATCCATTCCTGTTCCTAGGAGGAAAAAATGTGTGGAGAGGAAAAGGACCGCCCCGACTGCTGCTGTCAGTGCTCCCGGCCCCGGGCTGCATCCTGTGCAGCACTGAGCCTCCCTTGGCTCCAGCATCAGCTCCCACCTGCAGCACGGTACCTCAGCACCACCCATGTCTGTACACAGCACGCAGATTACAGCTCCCATCCGTCTCCTTTTCCCCTGCTCCACCAGATGGCAATGCAATCCAGCCGCCTCCCGCTGCCCCCGTCCCGCAGCCCCTGCAGCACTGTGGCAGCTCCTGGCCCTGAGCTTATCCCCATCACCCCAGTACCCCAGTGAACTCAGTGTGAGTTCTCAGGAGGTCTCCTAGTTTTAAAGCAGGATACCCAGACTGCACAAGGTTTCTCCTAAAGAACTGTGATTCATGCATGCCAGGCCTCTCCTGCCGCCCTGCTCTAATTACTGATTTTTGCCATGGGTTTAATTTGCAGTCAGGGCCATGCAAACAGTCGCTCGGGTTTGTTCCCCTGACATGCACCGTGTGCTCACAGGAACAAGTGCTGTCCTTTTTTTGGAGCACTGCAGTCGGTGCCATGAGGTCAGCCTTTCCTGCCTGCTCCTTTCTGGGATTCCTCCCCCCTGCAGCGGCTCAGAGCCTCCTGGATGGGACAAATCCTTGCCCTGGCAGCTGTATTTTCCTGCTTTATATTTTTCCCCTTCTTTATTTTCTCCCATAAGCTCTGATGTGTTGACAAGCTTGTTCTGGGCCGTTACCGCTGCGAGAAAACTTTGCAAAGGAGTGATTTCTTCCTCTGCTCCAGCTCCTTTTTGCTCCACATGATAACACAGCCTGGGGAAGGGCAGTGCCAGCAGCATGCTGTGTGTGCTGTGGGGGGCATGCTGCTGTGCCCCCTCCTCACCCCACTGTGCCCACAGCTGAGCGGGGCTGACATTGGCAGGAGGTGGAGGTCACAGAGATAGGTGCTTCCTCCAGGTCCACCTGGCCGTGTGTCCTCGTTAGCACTGAGACCCAATTAAGGGTCCCGCTGAGGGGGAGAGTATGGGGGAGCTGCGTCTCATTAGACACCAAGGAAATCTCAAAGCAGATTTGCTTAGGGATGTGGCAGAAATGGGGCTCGTTAATTATGTTAATAGGACAGCTTTTGAAACAGGCCTGGCGGTTTTGGTGCTGAGCCATTCTGAGACTTCTATTTGCTGTCTTACCATCTTGTTTTCCCAAAATATGAACGGCCTTTCCCTGCTTCAGTAGCTCGGAGGCCCAAAGGAGCCACCTCCTTGTGCATTCTGTATCATTCATTGAAGCATTTGGCTTAAAACCGCTCGCATTGAGATGTTGAAGTGGATCAGCTGGTCAGAGATGCTGGATCTAAACACTCATCAACAGCCTTAGAGCAGCACCAGGGGCTGGAGCTGCCTGCTACCCTGCTGCCCTGCTGCCTGCTGCCCTGCTGCCCTGCTGCCCAGGTGAGGGGCTCAGCACTGCTGCTGTAACTGCGTTGAGCACTGAAGGACAGGAGGAGCCTTCTGGGTCATAGCATCACTTCAAGATAAATTTCCCAGAACAAGCTCGTTTCTTCCCCCCCATTACTCCTATTGGGAGCTCACAGTGGTCATAAACTTATCCCCAGCCTAAACTTGTCAGGGATACTTCATTTAGTCCTTGTGCATCCCTTGTTCTGGTGTGCCTTGAATAGTCACTCAGCGTTCACCCCCTGCTTTGTCTGTGGGGCTGGACGAGCATCATTACATTTAAATCTACTAAAATAACCCCTGTTCTGACAAGTCCTTTTTTTGTGCTTCTTCCTACTTGAATTTTTGCCTCCCTCAGACAAGTCTCCATGCCTGACGTGCCCCAGCAGTGCTCTGGTTGTCTCCCTGCGCCTTTCTCATTCATAAGAATTTTCCACCTGAGTTCATTATCATTCTGGCTCATGGCAAAACGCAGTGTTTGTCCCACGTGTGTGCCTTCCCCTTCCGTCCTGTCAGATTCAGCCTTCTCCATTTGTCTTTGCAGTCACCCATTTTGGACTCCCAGCTCTGCTCTGTACCGATGGCGCTTTCCAGCTTTGTGTCGTCAGCACGTTTCATTAGCACACTTACTTTCTGTGCCAAGGTCATTAATAAAACCATTTAATAAGATCAGCCTCCGGACAGTTCCTCGAGGAGCTCCTCCAGTGACCTCCATCCATCCCGATCGCTCTTTCAACGCCGCTTCACCTTTCACCACTTCCTGGCCTTACAGTTCTGCTAATCCCTGGTTTTTTTTCAGTTCCTAATTTCCCACATGGCTCTGTATCACACACTTTGCCAAAGTCTGCGTGGATGGGATCTATCACACTTCCTTTGTCTAGAAAATTCATTATCTTACCAGCCTAACCTGATTAGCTCTGTTTGATCTGATTTCCCTTCAGAACGTTCCCATTGTTTTCTACCCTGTTTACCATTTAGCTTCATGCTCTAATTAGTCTTTCTGCAGTTTGCTCTGGAGCCTTCATCCTGCTGGGGTTAATCAAAGAGGCTCGAAATGCTCACATCACTTTTTCCCTTCTTCCATGGTGCAGCGATGCAGATGCGCTCTGCTCCCCACTGCTGGGCAGGCAGCCCTGGTCTGGGTGCAGCAGGAGCTGCTGCCTTCCGTGCTGCTCTGTGCTGGGATGTGTACACAGCAAGGTTTGGAGATGCTGGCTTTGAATGGACTGACTTGGAGCCCTGTAAGCATCATTCCTCCTGGCTTCACCAGCCACCCTGGTTCCCTGTGATTCCCATCCCAGCCCACATGCTTGGCTCAACGTGCTGAAAAAACAGCAGTGCTCAGACCCCATTTAAACTCCCAAACGATCTGCTGTTTGAGAGCTGATCCCCACATGTAAGGCACCATAAAGATGGGAGAGGAAGCCGCAGAGTGGCACTTCTGGGACTCATTTGCAGCGCACAAATCAGGCACAGGTTCAGGCCTGAAGCTGGGAGGTGGCAACCAGTTTGAATGTCCCCCCATTGGGAAGCACCTAATGTGCCAGAGAGGGAGAAGAGGGGGGCATGGAGAGGAGAGCCAACAGCAGCAGACATCTTCTTAATTACATTTGCATATGCAGCTGTTCAAACAGCTCCAACTTCATCAGTGCTTGTTCATACCTATCAGGAGATTTAGAGCAGCTGCTGTCAGCCCGCGTAACAATATTGTACCAGGCTGGTGGTGAAATGAGCCCCTGGGCAGGCTGTGTGCCCGGGCTGTCCATCACACCAAAAGGCCTAGCAATTAGTTGTGTTTGAATATGGGGAAAAAAAAAAAAACACACTAGGAATTGTGTGAAATATCCCAGGGCGACTGCTTTACAGCTAGGTTTCCAAGGCTACATGTTGCAGAATTAAATCATAAATTTGTATTTCTGAAAATGGTGCTGAAATGTGATAATTTGTACAGCTAAACTCGCCTCCTCCTGCCTTTTCCCTCCAAGCACGCTCAGCGACTGATGATTGCAGTGCCTGAACTGGGGCTGGAATACAGCACAGTTTTGGGCTGGGGACCTTGTGCTGCAGCGAAGCTAAACTGGGGGGACCCACATGCCTCACACAGTGCAGCTGTACCCAAAGCACCGGGCAGGGAGCAGGGCTGCATCTGGAGCACAGCACTGCCCGCCCCGGGCACTGGTGGCCACAACAATACAAAGGATGTGGTCAGTGGAGAAATGGGCTTGTGAGGGGCAAAGCACTTATGTTGTCTCTTCAGGGCTTTCTGAGATGCATAGATGCCACCAGAAGTAGGGTTTATAAATCAAGAGGGGCTGTGATCTTACAGCTTTGTTTTGCAGGAGGACAGGCAGTGGTGGGATAGCTGCAGGCTTGGAGCTGCAGAGAGGGGATTGCCCTCCTGAGGGGGTCAGACCTCGGGGTAGTGTCTGCCATGTCGCTTTAAAATTAGGTGAATAAAGGAGAAAATCAGATAGGTTCATGCTGCATTCATCCCAAAGCGTTCAAATGGCAGAAGTTAAGCTTCCAGAAGGGTGTTAATTAAAGCATGTTGCACATCTGGGCTGGTTTGGGAAGGCACGGTGAGCTGTGCACAGGGCTGTGTGCGTGGAGTGGTCAGAGCCCCATTTAGTGCTGTATTCAAGTGCAGCTTTTGCAGATTGCAGTCCATGGCTTTGACATCACTCTGACACAGCTGGAAGGTGGGGCTGCAGCCTAATGGAGCTTCCAAGGAGGTGTATGTGTAGGTGCTGGGCACCCACCGAGGGCCAGCACCAGCCCAAGGCTGCAGGCATGCTTTGCACCTGAACATGGTGCTGTTGGGTGTCCCCCTGTCCTGCAGCGATGGGCACAGTGTGCTGCTGTTCCTGTAACCCTGCTGCAGCTCAGGTTTGCACCGCTTCCTAAGCCCTCATGGTGCCATCAGCGTGGCCATGTCAGTACGGTGTCACTCCTTGCAGCAGGGACACTTCATCGAGCTGGACGTCCTGCAGACCATGCAGCAGCAGCGTCCTGTGCAGTGCTGGCAGAGTGGAACCCACCTGCACCTAAATGCATCTGAAACTTTTTGCTTTGGGACTGGAAGGAGGAAGGGGTTTGTTTTGCAGCTCATGCTCTGACTTTGCTGTGTAGTCCCGGTGAGCACTGGGACCGGCAGAGCAGCTGCAGGTGTGAAGCTGTGCGTGCCTGCGGGGGGGTCAGTGCCACATGGGTGTCATGTGCAGCATCCCTGACATCCCATAACACGGAAGCTGCTGTTTCACAGTGATCATCTATCTCAACAAGCACCAAGCATTGCCTTTTTGGCAGGAAAGTGGTGCCGTTTGCTCTATTTGAGCAGAAATTTCATTTTCCAAGCCATGCTTTCTATAACTGTCTGATTCTTATGACGCCTGGGAAGCCTAAAACTGGCTGTCATTCACTACAGCAGCCTTTCACAGGACATGCGAGCAAAATGGCCTTAATTATTTTACCTGGGTCGTTGCCTGGTGATTAAATCCCACTTACCACTCAGCTCCCGGGGATGGGCTGATGAGGAGTGGTGTGGGCTGTCCCCATGGGTGCCCTTTGCTGCTTCTTTGTGCCCTTGGCAGAGGTTGGCTCTGCAAACGCCTCCTCCCCCGATGCTTCCTTTTGTAAGAAGCCTCCAGAAAATGCTTATTTTAACCTGCTTTCTGCATCCACGGATGGACGGTTTTATATGATGCCGACAGTGCCTGCTGTGATTTTTATGGCCCATAGTTTTCTGAGCAAATGGCTTTGCTCACGAGTTGGCCGGGCTGCGGTGACCTTCTCTTGTTCATTAACTGTCTGTTTAAAAATATGCATGTGGTGTTAGTTATAGAGCATTGATTGGGGTTATTCTAGGTGGTGCGGGGAGGTCTGCTCCTTCCCTGCCCTCCTCATTACCAAGCAGAAGCGACCGCTCGGGGCCTGGTTTATTTACCTAATAAACTGCCTCTTGTATCATGTAGGAAATGCTTACATTTTTCAGCCAGGAGATCCTAGTAACAGGCAAACAGAGGTCTAGCAGTCGGGTCTGGAGAAACAACGAAATGAAGGTCAGCTCCTATGGCTGTTATTCTCCTTCCCGGTGGCCATGACAGCAGGGGTGGTTTATTTGAGGATCCCAGACTCGGAGTCATTGCTCGCATTGTTGGTCCCCCGAGCGCGGGAGGCTGTGCCAACAGCTCAGGATATTAATGCATTCTACAGATCAGTGAATGGAGAATTCCTCCACACTCCTTTCTTTTCCGAAAAAAAAAAAAAAAAAAAAAAAAATTCCTCCTCTCTCCCCTTCCCCCTGCACTTTGTTTGCAGAGCTTTGTCTGCTGAGCGTTGCCGGGCATCGCTAATGAGCAGGGAGGCATCGCGCTGCGCTCCGGGTCCCACTCGAGGTGAAGTCCTCACGCCAGGCAGGTGCACAGCCATCCACGTGCAGATGTGCAGGGGCTGAGCAGAGCTCCCTGCTTCTGCATGCACCCTCCTTCCGTTGCAGGGATTGCATTTAGGGATTTGTGATATGTTCTCTGATCTCTCGTGGAAACGTCAATGAGATGAGAAGTGCTGAAGAGCTCTCCAGGCGCAGCCCCGCGCTGGGGCAGGAGTGCTCAGCACAGCAGCCCCTTTGTTCCCAGGCACATCCAACACGGCCGGCGGGGCTGGGGCAGGCTGGGCAGCTGGGCTGTGCCTACAAGGAGCTCTCAAAGCCTGGGTCTGCCGGCGGTGCACTTGAAGTGCAGGCTGAGGCACCCACCGATGGAAGCGGGATGCTGTTAGGCTGCCTTTCACTTAGGCTTAATTAACGAACAGCAAGCTTTGTCCCCGGGAGGCCCGCTGGGTGTGAATGGACCCGGCTGTGTTGGCAAACTGTGGCTGCAGCAGGGTGCATTGGGTCAGCCCTGTGTGCCCCCAGCCCATGGGGAGCTGCAACTGGAAGCCCAGGAGAGCTGCTGTCCTCAGCCCCGTGGGGAGCAGAGGTTGAGGCAGAAGGGCGATCTCCCGTTCTTTCTGCCCGTGCTGTGGGTGTGTGCACAGGGAGGGATGTGGGCTTGAAATGTTACGGGCTGGTTGGGCAGTGAGCTGCCAGGGGAATGGCTCACGAGGCGGGTGGTTATTACGGCCTTGGAAATCTTCTGAAGGAGCCCAACCGATGCAAAGCTCAAGCCTGTTCAGAGTCTGCAGGATGCACCTGATCACAGCATCATGGAATCATGAAGGCTGGAAAAGACCTCTAGGATGACCAAGTCCAACCCCAGCCCACCCCCTCTATGCCCACTGGCCACAACCCTCAGTGCCACATCCAGTCTTTCTTAAACACCTCCAGGGATGATGACTCCACCTCCTCCCTGAGCAGCCCATGCCGGTGCATCACCGTTCTTGTTGAGAGCAAATTGTTCCTAATATCTAACCTGGACCTCCCCCGGTGCAACTTGAGGCCATCACCTCTCTATCACTGTTACCTGGAAGCAGAGCTCGACCCCCACCTCACCACAACCTCCTGTCAGGAAGCTGTAGAGAGCTATAACATCTCCCCTGAGCCTCCTCTTCTCCAGACTGACCCATCCCAGTTCCCTCAGCTGCTTCTCATCAGACCTGTGCTCCAGACCCCTCACAGCCCCACTGCCCTTCTCTGGACACGCTCCAGGGCCTCCATGTCTTTCTTGTAGTGAGGGCCCAACTGAACACAGCACTCCAGGTGCAGCCTCACCAGAGCTGAGTACAGAGGGACAGTCCCCTCCTGCTCTGCTGGCTGCACTGCTTCTGATATAAGCAAAGATGATGTTGGCCTTCTTGGCCACCTGGGCACTCTGCTGGCTCATGGTCACCTGAGTGTCCACCAACAGCCTCAGAATCTTTATCCCTGTGCAGCTTTCCAGCCACTCTGCCCCAAGCCTGCAGCAGTGCATGGGGGTGTGACAGAAGTGCAAAATGCAGCACTTGGTCTTGCTGAAGCTCATCCCGTTGGCCTCAGCCATCAGCCTGTCCAGATCCCTCTGTAGGGGAGTAGAGTCAGCTCACCTGGAGCAGAACATGCAGAACTGATCTGAGCCTGTTCAGGGCTTGGTGCTGGATGCTGTGCAGCCTCAACTGGAGAGCACCCAGTGATACCAACAGCTTGGCAGGTGCTGAGCTGAGGCCTTGCCAGCTGCACTCTGGGGGAGTTTATTGGGCAGAGTAGAGTGTTCACATATCAGTAACTTCTATAAACTCGTTTTTACTTCCTCAGCTGAGCAATTCCCATGTCATGCCTTGAGATCGGGTGTGATGTAGATAATGGGAAATGGCTGCAGGTGATAACTGCTCCCTCCTGCCCTGCTCACCTGCACTTGGGAGCCTGTGGTGCTGCTGTTATTTGGAGTGCTTCATGTTCTCCCTGCCCACAAAACGCCCCACCAGGTGAGTGCTTTGTGCAGCACGACCTCGCAGCACAAGGGTTAGGATTTTAGCACAGTCCCTTTATACATGTGTTTGTATAACTCTCCCAAATCAGCAAGAGAAGAGCCACCAGGTTCAGAGAGTCTGGAAAGCTCTGCACAACCAGAGGCTCCTGGCTGCATTCATGGGCTGTGTGTAACACGGAGAGGCTTCCAGCTCCTGCAGGGCTGCCTGTTGTATTGCTGCAGCATTTATAATGTCTGTGGGGATCCCAGCAGACAGCGCTTTGTGTTCAGCTCTGGAGCATTAGCAAGGCAACAGCACTGCTAGAAAGTTTTGGAAAAGCACCTTTTCAGAGCCAAAGTGACTCATTCCCACTCAAGGAGCAGCAAATGTTTTTCTGGCGTTTTCATATTTTTTTGCATTTTATTTATTTCCCTCCTCGATACTGAATTAAAGGCTCAAAAACGAGGGGGAAAAGGGCAACGTTTGGGCTTTCCCCAGTAACGGCAGCAGTGCCAAGTGGCTCAGAGGGGCTGGTTTGGGGCAGGCTGTTAGCCCAGCACTGTAAACACTGACGTTCCCAATGTCCTGAGAAGGAGCGCTCGGTTCCTATTTGTGAATTTGGAGCTTTTGTGCCTCTTTGTGCTTTCTGATTCAGAACGACTTCACTCGGGGGCAGTGTTTTGAGAACATGCTGCGGTGGCGTGGGAGCTGGATCAGTGTTTAATTAAAGTTGATCCCCAGCCCTCGCTGGAGCGCAGGGTTGGGGCGCGCCGTGCGGGGCAGCGGTTCTCAGGTGCGGGGCTGCGTGCTGCCCTGCTCGGCTTCCCACGTCCTTCAGCCTGCTGCCCAAACCAGGCCAGACTTCACACCCAGTGCTCCCTGCCCTTCACGTCGAGGCGTTGGAACGCTCTCCTTCGCTCTGACCTGTGGGACTCTTCTTGCCAGGAATTCGGCTCCGTTTGGGGCTGCCTTCCAGGCGCTAAGCATGGCTTGCTCCATCAGCACCACGCTGCCCTGCCGTCCTGCCCGCATCTTGGCAGGGCCAAGCAGCGTTTTGCAGAGGAAACAGAGGGAGACCTGCCTCATGTTACACCCCACTGCCCGTGGTTTTTGATATCACCACAACACTGGGTAGATTTGAGCCTTGAAAACTCCAAGGCAGGAGTCGAATCCATCTTTTCTGAAGCCCGGATGTGTTCCTGCAACGCGCTGTGCAGGAGGGATGTGGTGGTTGCTCCTCTGCCCCTCCCTCGTTGCATTTTACAAACCTCGTTCTATTTTTCTTTCTTGCCCTGGAACTATTTGACGAATTTGACCTCGATTTGTAAATAGTTTTGGTGTGACTGGAAACGGGTTTTTGTGTGTTGTTTTTTGTTGTTATTGCTGCCAGTGAATTTATGAAATGCTGAAAGCGTTTCGCCCCGCTTCATTGAGAGCTCCATTTTCTCTTCTGTACATCCCCACCATGGTCATAGTTATTGTTCCATGGGCTGCACACTTTGTTCTTCATCTCTTCCTTTTCACACCTCCTTCCCAGTGTTACTATTTGTAGCTCTGCTGTTTGCTTTGTTTATTACAAATACTTCCATTTGGTGCACAGAATTTTGCTGTGTCCTCTGTGCTACCTCCTAACGTGCTGGAATGCTTCATTTGTTTGCCATCACCTGTGGCACTTCACAAGTGCTCATTGCTTTGGTGGTTGAATGCAGTTGTGTAGATGAGTGCAGAGTAAGTTGCTCTCCTGTGTACTTAAGCTGCTTGCATTTGGGCATTCGTAACATTTTTGCACACACATCTTAGCGGTTAATGCTCTGGGAGAGAAACCATATCGTGGAATATCTTGGATTTAGTTCAGCCAGCATTGCACAGTGATGAAAAGCTGTTCCTGTGTCGGGATGCCTGGGCCTGCTCCAGCCTGGGCTGCATCCTCTGAGCTGCTGCTGGGATTGTGAAGCAGGCGGAGGATCGCACCGCTGATTGCTTGAAGTGAATGGGGAGCTGGTGAGTCTGGAGTCCTGCAGGAGAGGGGATTGCTCCGTGGGAGCTGAGATAAGGAAGGCTGGATTCTCTGATCAGGTCATCTGAGTGGCTTGCTTCCTTTTGAAAGACCCTTAGTTTTCATTACCGGAGGAACCAAATGCTGGAGCTCATCTTCTAAGGGAGCAGCAGTTCAGCAGAGCTGATTTTCCTGTGCTATTGCATGAGAAGGTCAAGGGGTGCAGCTGGCACTTTGGTGCTCATCTTTAGTCCTGCAGGTTCTAGCACAAAGCAGAATGTTTCTCATCAGCGTTTACAGATGGGTGTATCTGGACGTGAAACGGCATCCCAGCCCCAGCAGCACCCAATGGGGGCAGGGGGCCCTTGGTGGCAGCAGCACATGTCCGTAGGTGGGCATGCAGGTATTTTTATGGGTTATGACTGGACAGGTTTTACAATGTACGAGCTCCAGTCGTCTGCTTCCTTGCTTAATTTGGCAAGGTTTGTGTGGGAGGAGCGAGCGTGAGGTAAGGGGTAGTTTTGGCTCGGCTCTGCGCAGGGCTGGGTGTGGTGGTGGTCTGGCTCACCTGAGACACAAGTTGGCTGAGATATGGGGAGGACACCCTTCTGAAGCCTTCGTTCAGCATCGGCTGAGAAAAAAAGGGATGTCAGGAAGGCAGGAAACGTGTTACTTCTAGGCAGGCTTCCCATCTCTGTGGGCTCACGTGGCCGGTTCTGCTTTCCCTCCGGGGTTTGTGCTCTTCTGCCAAGGTTCTTGGAAGGTGAGAGCTAAAAAAAAAGCGTGTGGTCGTGAGAGATGGAGGCAGGAATTGGTGCAGTGATCGCTGCAAGGAATTGCTCTGCTTTGCTGGTTCCATCCTGCAGCAGCCAGCCTGCCTGGCAGTCGCCTAATGGGTGCAGTGCTGCTGTCCCCACCTGGGCATTACATACCATCCATCAGATGAGACCCCTTCACCAGGCTGTCTGCTGGATCCACTTTGCTGACTTTTTTTTCCCATTCTCAGCGCCTCTGCTGAGCTCCCAGGGCAGGCAATAGTCCTTGTGGTGGAGTTTCTGTGGATACAGGCAGCCTGCACTTCAGCAGTCCTGAACTAACTTCTTGCATAAGAGACTTTCTCTGAGAGCTATTTTTAAAAATGTGGCTTTGGTAAAAATACCCCAGGTGGGAGGGAGAGCTTGCAGCAAACTCTCACCTTCGAGCGCTTGATGGGGTGACGCCCTTTGCTTTATATAGATCGAGCAAATGGGGAATTTGTAATTCTTCAGATAATGGAGGGTTGCTGAATAATGCTGCATAGGAGTCTTTTAAAAAGAAAATGAAGTGTGTTGTAAAGTGAAGTCTGGAACATGTGTGGAACAGCCTCTCCCCAGACTGCTGCTGCAGCCAGTACTCATTGCAAGAAGATGTTAGCAGGGGGCAAATGCTGCCCGTTTGTGCCACCGTTGGGGCAATGGGTTTCCCTAATGTCAGTCCATGTATTCCTGGGAGAGTCCTGAGATGGGGTCACCCATCTACCATGGGGCAAATGGGCCTTCGCTGGGAGCTTGTTCCTGCAGCTCCCCGCCTGTCTCTCATGCTCCCCATCGCTGTTGGAGCAGCTGGCCTTCTTGCTGCAAATCATATTTTTTTTTCTCTCTTTTGGATTGGGAAAGTTGTGTTAGACCAGATTTATTGAATGCACATGGCAGATAACTGCTTCTCTCTGTCTCATTTGCGAACAGCCCTCTGTAGGCTCTGGGTCCTGATGCTGGCAGCGCTGCTCACACACCCACAGAGCGACGGCGGTGCTTCTTTAGCATCAGTGCAATGGCAGCACTGGTAGCACTGCTGCACAAAGGCTGGGAAGAGGAACAGGCGTCTCACAGCCGAGCTGCTGAATGCAGCCGTGAGATTCTTTTCCTCTAAAATCTTCAATATAATCTCCTTTTTTGGGGACGGCTCTATGAAAGTTCATTGGAACTTTGTGAGTATTCACTCAGTGCTGCCAGGGGAAGGTTCTTGATTGCGGTTTATCCAGAATCTGGTAATGAATGTGCACTGTGGGGGCCT